GCATGCTTGATATAACCTTGTCAAAAGATTTGAGGGATACTGGCCAAGAGAGGTCCACCCAGCCAGTTACTAGTACCAATTGCCAGGCCAACTGGACCCTTGACTGTCTGATTTTTCTGCTTGTTGAAAGAACTTCATAGAGCTATACTAACTACACTTAACTGAGTGGATTTTTTAGAACACTTGATTATAACAATAAATGCAAAAGCAACCTTCATAAGTATGCTATCAAAAATATTATCACATAAGAAAATGTCAATATAATTTTTTTTTTTGCTGGATGAAAAAGTGATGAGGGCAAAGGAGAGCACCCAAAGACCATTCCGATAAGCCCTCACCGGTGAGATCACGAGGCTTCTGATCGCACCTGTTACACCTATTGAGAACGAACCTAACTAGGCTAGCATAACGATCAACCACAGAACCCCAACGTGAACTCCAAGATTTGAACCTCCAACCTCTAGGTGAGAAGTTCAGTTGGTGCGCTACTGAATAATCAAAACTATACTACAACGCGTGGTTTTAACTATAGAGTTCAATATTATTTCCAATTCTATTTCTCATACGCATAGGTAGGTTCAATGTGTCTTATAAGGATTTAGACCTCATACAATAAATTCTTTTTCAATTTTCATAATGCAAGGTGATATGTTATAAATTCACGTAAGACCATTATAAATATATGTATCCCATTTATACACCGTGTGTGATTTGCCAATAAAAGAAATTGAAAAAAATTGCACTATAAGGGATCCGAATTCTTGTTATGTAGATATATATAAACATGTAATTTAGCTATAAAGCTCAGTGTTTATACATTGCCCTTATGGTCAGTTGGTATAACATATACTTGTTTAGGCCACTAAATGAACCTATACATGGAAATTAAATTTCAACCACTTACATTTATCAGACTCATTGATTTGTGGTTGATCATTTGCCCCATCTCATTAATTGGACAGCTCATATCAATTTGCCTCTTTCTTCCTCTCGCTTTTATTTCTCTTCCCTTTTCGAGAATCACTTAAAGGGCCTGTATCCCACATTTTTGTTTCTATTGGGAGAGTTAATCAAGTCGAGCTTCCTGAGTTAAAGTATGTTCAGGTTTATCTCAATAATGAATGGTAGAGTCCAATTGTCGAAAAACTTAACAATCAGCTCTATATTCATCCGTCTTTCAACAAATCCCCAATTACGGGAAATAAATGATAAAATCAAACCCTAAAAAGTCAAATTAATCAAATATCTATCAAAAACAAGAATGAAATAGAAGTAGATGTGGTTTTGTTGCAGTTAGGAGATTAGATGGGTGTTATTCTTCTTTTGAATAGGAAATTGGTTGGTAATAAACTATAAGTATTTATAAACCCATTTGATCTTAACCAAGCCTATTCGAGCTGAGTCATTGCTTGGATTCAGCTCTTACAAAATGAGCTAAAGCTGCTCGGATCGTTTAAGAACCTTGGTCCTTGTCGTTCAAACTTCTACACACGCAGTTGTTAATCTAATACGAAAATTATACATTTTACTGTACAAATTATATATCATGGGTGGTGAAGCACTGCAACAGTTATCTACCATGGGATAACATGGTGGAGGCTTGGAGCTATTTATTTGTGCACCTGCAAAAGAATCTTTTTTGTGGTCATAGTATTATGGATTAAGTATAACAGGTTATACCTAGACATAATGGTCTGTCGGGGAATCTTGCTAGCAACAAAAACAATAGCTCCGGATTATCTGTTGCATTGTAGAGGCAATGTGGCAAAGCACTTATTTTATTTACTTTTTCTTTTACTTTTCTTTTTGGGTTACACAAAAAAGAAAGAAAAAATATATGATTAACTAATACATTGCAAAGTTTTGAGAATTCTCATTTTTCTATCTTTTTTCCCCTTTGGTTTTTGATTTCTCGATGAATTTTTATTAACAAAGTAAACGTTTTTGTTATTTGAATGATACGTTCCCATGTTATTTTTGAATGGTATTTCATATTATTCTACATATGGCTAGTTTCAGATTAGCAAGAACTTACAGTGCAGAAGCTCATAAACCTCAATGTACGTAATCTATTCTTAAGAAAAAGAAATACAATAGTTGATAAGTGATGGGAGTCACTAAGCATCTTGTGAGGATGGGCTCGATGTCTTAGACTTTGTTACGATTATCTTTTTTCCCACTACATATGCACCTCATCTCTAAGGTAGTTTGAAACTCGTGTTCCCCACGTAGGAAGTGAGATCCTAACAGAGAAATGCTATTTGTGATGAAGTTTAGAAGCAATTCTGCAACCATAGAAACAAAAAGACTATCATGAGAAGCTCTTTTAGCCCTAAACATTGAAGCATTTCTTTCTTTCTTTTTTCTCAGAAAAATTACGTAATTGTAAGTCAACATGTGTTCTCGTAAGATCTCATTGTCTCCAAAAGAACATGAAAAACACCAAAAAAATTAAAAAAAAATACAAATAAAAGGAAAAGCTAACTTCCCACCTCTAACACAGTGAATTGTGGTCAACAAATTTTAGTACATGAACTAATGATTTGGTGGCTTGGTATTTTAAGGCTGGTCAGTGGAGGCTTCTACTTAAAGTTGTCTGGCACTATGAATTTCGGGTGGTTAGGTTGGGGATTCTTTCTATTTTTTGTGGGAAAGAAAAAAAAGAATTAGACACTGTTCTCTCTCCCTCCTTTCATTAATATTTGTCTTTAACTTAGTGGGCAATGTAGTAAATAGAATTGGGAATGGTTTTCTCACTGTTGGAATTATTGAGAAAGATAGAAATTCAACAAAAGTTTGTAAAAAAAAAGATTTAATAAAAGAAAATATGAAAAATTTGAAGCATGCAATGGTGTTTCCCTTCCCAATCACTAGAGTTCAACTAATTTGTCAATTTGTTCATTTGACACGGAATGATGGTAGTCACCCTCCTCCTCCCGTTGGAACGTTTCAACTTTTGTACGCTCTTATATATTGAGAGCTCTAGGCCAGACCAATGCTAACATTTAGTTGACAGTTATCTATCCATTGCATTTCAACAACTCGTCGTGGAAGCATTGGAGGGGGAAATGTAGCATTCTTAGTTGAAGTGACATAAGCATCAATTGTTAATTACGTTATTTAGTCCACCAAGATAATCTAATCTATACTTTTTATTTTTAAATAATTTACATAATAAAGCAGATCGGATTTTAAAATATCATACCTAAAAATGTCTATTGTGTCAAATAGATTTGGTGTGGACATTCAAATTGTGGCCATGTTTTTCATCATTCGAGTTTTCCCCCTCCATTTAAGTAAAGAAAGGATGCTTAAACTAGATGTTGAGGTCTTACTAACCATCTTAATTATATCTGAATCTAACAAATCTTTTGTAGGCCATGTACTTTGTTTTTCTTTGCCTTAATCTTTGCAATTTTTTCTTCCCTTTAAGTTCAATGTTTGTCCTTTCTTTGTCATCCAAAAAATACGAGTTGAAAGACTATGAACAACAAGTTATGATTAATTATGTCAAGTTAAGACTTCGTAAATTTGAAAACATTGGAATCGATCTCAAGTTGTTTTGACCAATTCTAACTTTTATGGCTTTATCATCTTAAAACTTTTAATATATTTTTTTATTTTGATACTATGAAAAAAGCCGAGATTATATAATTCTAGATGATCAATCTCTTTTTCACTAATCCTTGGAATGTAGCTAAAGTCATATGGCAAATCGAATAAACATAATGGTATGTCAGATTATTTACATAGTGACGCATATGAATAGATTAATGAAATTTTCATGGTTTTGTTTACTATCAAACCACAATCAAAAGTAGTGACTTAGGAGACCAACAAGGAAAGAAAATCTTGTTGAATTTCAGTCCAGTCCAACTTTTTGAAACAAAAAATTGAAAATCAATGGGAGTAGATTTATAAAGAATCCAAAGTAAAATGTCACTACTTTCAACATTATTTTACTTTCTCCCACATAAAAGTACTTATGGTTTTCATTTTTTAAGAAATTCTCATTTTGTTAATGATTAACGACACTTACGCCCTAAAAGATTTAGAATTTTTGTTTTATACCCTTAAAATGTCTAATATTCATCTTGAATTTTTTTAAATTGTTGCAATGTACCCTAAAAGTAATACGCTGTTTGTTTCATTTCAAGCTGCATACAATATAGAAAAACAAAAGACGAATTCCTCTTGAGGAATATTGCTATAATCTAAATTAATTCAGAGTTTAATGTGAAATTTTTAATCTTTCAATAATTAAAGCATAAGTTTTAGAATCTTTTAGACAACAACCTATCATTTATCCTATTGCCAAAACCCAAGGAATATATATATATATATATATATTTGGCTCTTTTCAACTTCAGTTGGACTCGAATTACACAATTTGGACATGAATTTCTATACAATTCTATGATAAAAATGTGGGTCTAATCCTCATTAGGGAATTATTGGGATTGGGTTTGAGTTGGGTCTTGGTGATGTAAAATCTCTACTCAAGTGTTGTCCGAATAACAAAAGTTTGGAATTTCTTTTGGCCAACTTCAATGTAAATACAAAAACATTTGTTGAGGTATTAGTTTTTTTTTATTGAAGTTCTATGGCAACTAGGCTGGGACAGGGCTATATGTCTGAATGAATATCTGCATGGGATGTGTGTAAAACAACAGGTCACAACAATGATGGGGGCACAGGCGCACATTAATGGCCATGGGAAGCAAATCTAAAAAGTGAATCAAAAGAAAATTGCTCTCTCTCTTTGCACCACTCCCCCACCTGCTCAGGATACGGTAACTTCAACTTGGTCGTCACACATGATTTCACACCGGGAAAAGGGCAGTATTGCTGACATCACCTGTATCTTTGGGAGGATTTTTGTAGGTCCCACATCCATCTCCCCCCACCACCCCCAACTGGCCAAACCCATTTGCCTTCGACACCAAAACTTTCTCCTCATATATATTTTCTCTCTCCTCACATGTAAAAAACCAAACCTCAAGAATCAAGACATTACAGTAAACCGCATATTCTGGACTTGTGTTCTTTATTTGTTCATTCTTTATTTCCCTTACTTTGCATTGCTTGCCTTGTAATTCAAAATCAACTTGGAAAATTTGGGGAGATCTTTTGGAAGAAATCTGGTCAGATCTTGCTTTGTGGGTTGTGGATTTTGGTGGGTCTATTTCAATACGAAGTTCATCTTCTCTTCTCAATCCATAGGAAAACAGAGACCTAACCCAAACCCAACAAGAAAGAACAGAAATAAAGCCTTTTCTTCTTCTTCCTTCTCTCTTCCTCTACCTAATTGATCTTGAATCTTGGAATCTTGAATTGGTGCAATGGTGATGGCCACAGATTCACAGTTTCATGTATTAGCTGTTGATGATAGCGTCATAGACAGAAAACTTATTGAGAAACTTCTCAAGACCTCATCATGTCAAGGTACTTTCTTTGCTACCAAACAGGAAATATATGGACAGATAATTTTCATTCTCCTGTTTTTATTGTTAGATTGGCTTGGCTTGGCTTTGACTGTTTATTTCTGGGTGTTGTACATTATTCATGGCAGTTACTACAGTTGATTCTGGTAGTAAAGCTTTAGAATTTCTGGGTTTACATGAAGATGATCAATGCGATCCAAAACAACAACCTTCTGTATCTCCAAACAATCATCAGGTAAGCTTTTCTTTTCCTTTTTTTTCTGCATTTTTTTCATTTTCTGATTTTATTATATATTTTTTTGCTTTCTTGGGATTTTACATGGACAACCTTTTTCTGAAAATTTTCTTTGGTTTCATGATTTTACAGGAAGTGGAGATTAATCTGATTATTACAGACTATTGTATGCCTGGAATGACAGGCTATGATTTACTCAGGAAAATTAAGGTATGCTTTGGTTTTTATTCTTTGTGTGTGTGTGTGTGGCTTCCTCTGCTTGCTATATTCTGCAATACATAGAAAATCTTTCTCAACTACAAGATTTTCCTTTCCTGGAAAATATGCCAGGAAAAAAACTTTCTTGACCAAACTATAGCATCCTCAATTGATATTTTTAAAAAGGTGGCCTTCATGGGTTCATTCTTACCATTCATTTCAGATCACTGAGAATCTTTGAAGAATCTTTCCCACCTGTTTTTCATATCCAAACAAACAATTCTGGCAATGAAAAAACTTTTTCTGACTCCAAATGGATCACCCCGGCTATTAGGCTGTTGTCCTTTACCCAAGAAATTACAATAGTATCTTCAGAAAAAAAAATTGCTGGCATTCTATTTTCTTGGAAACAAAATGATTTAATAATTTCTATGTATTTTCTTATGTTTTGGCAGGAATCGTCATCCCTGAGAAACATACCAGTGGTGATTATGTCATCCGAAAATGTTCCTTCAAGGATCAATAGGTAAGAATAAATTCTATATGTAGAATACTCATGGAAATATGTGATTGAATTTTCCTTCCCTGGAAATTTTGATGAAATATTGGAAATTTTGATTGATGGGTGTTTGTTAAATCTTATTTACAGATGTTTACAAGAAGGAGCAGAAGATTTTTTTCTGAAACCAGTGAGGTTATCAGATGTAAATAAGCTTAAACCCCATATGATGAAAACCAAATTAAAGGATCTTGAGAAGCCATCAAAACAAGAGAAACAAGGAGAACAACCAGCAGCAGCAGCAGCAGCAGAGTCACCTCAACCACCACCACAAGCACAGTCACCTCAACCACCACCACCAGCACAGTCTCCTCAACCACCACTAGTTCAGCCACAGCAACTTCATTCAGCAGAGCCACCACAACTTCAAGCCAATAATACCAAGAGGAAAGCCATGGAAGAAGGGCTTTCACCAGATAGAACAAAACGCAGATAGTGATCTCACAGTGGTCTTTAATTGATCATGGAAAATACTTTCTTTTTTTTTTTATCTTTTTTTTCTTTGGTTTTGAACAATGATATTCTCATAACCCTTGTAGAGAAAGAGAGATCCATCATTGTGATGAGAGAGCGGTATACATTTTTTACATGAAATTTTAATCAATTCCAATTTAGATTCGCTGACTTAAAGAGAGAATTGTAAAAATTGACCTGCATTTGCGTTGTATAGTCACGATTGTATCTACCCATTTGTTATAACTCTGTGTGGTTCATTCATTTATCACTTAAATTTATTAAGATTAAATTAAATTTATATTAATTTTGTATTAGATTTACAAATTTTGTCTAGAAATTCAAAAGGCTTTTTCTTCCTTATAAGGGTCAATGAGGAGAACAATTATACGTCTTTAGTTTTTGTTTGGTTTTTTTAAAAGGTTTGGGACAGTCTTCATGTGTTGATGACTTGGTCATTAATAGGAGACAACTTTTGACCTAGAAATTATATCATGTCTACCATGGCTGTATCTAAGTTCTAGGTTTGAATGCGTGGATCTTATCGTGGAAGAAGGGAAGTTTCCAAAAAACTAAGTGGTTGAAAACATTGTGCCAAATGATACGTTAAAAGTTACTTCTCCCAGCCACACTCGTTTTTAGACCAAATGTCTCCGCATACGATTACTCATCTAAGTATGAATTTTTTTTTTTTTTTCAAAGGCGTCCGAATTAATTTACGCATATCTTAACTAAATATTTTTCGTTTGGTCAAAGACAAGATATCCACAATGAAATTAAAGTATTCATAAAAAATAAATTTTTAATAGACTTATTCCAAGAGATTGTCAAAATTTAAACTCATGACGTCTAAATTTATAATTTATTTTTGTTACCATTTGATTATCATCTAAGCATGATCATCAAAATGTTACTGTCTCTATTAGTTTTGACGTGAAAATGATGGAGTTATCTTTGGTTAAACACTCTGGTTTATTATAAAAAAATCTTGGCCATTGAAATAATGTTTTTTGACGTGTCACTTATTGGATAGGCTATCGAGAGAAATTGTAGAGAAGGGTAATGGAGAGGATTATCCCCTCAAACCTATCTCTGATTTCAGTTGGGACTTATCCGCCGAGATAAAGGTCTATGTTCTTGTCTATCTACTATCTCTAATATCCAACACCAGGGTCTATGGCAAGTCTGAGTTGATTACAATCATACACCTCTCAGATAATTGCCTTTATCGAACTTCATACAAAAGAATTGGGCAACATTTCACCTTCACCTTCTCATTTAGCTTCACATGAGAGTAATAATTGTGCTAATCAAAGGTATCTGTTAAACCCGGGAGTCACCGGCGAACACTAATGACAAATTACAAAAAGTGCAAATACTGTAATTGTACATTCCTGAAACCACTGATATATCTCAATCGTAAAGTGCCGCTCCAGTTCGAGTCCTCCTTTCTTTAAAATAAAAACCCTTCCTTTCCTACTCAATATTGTAGTTATCACTCTGTAAATACCTAATAAATCTGAAAAAAAACATCAAGTTTTGTCATCTGGAATCAAAACAACGTTTCATAAAGGCACCTTACATAGGTCCGGTCTGAAGTGCATGGTCTAAATCAGCAATCAAATCATTCACGTCTTCAATCCCCACTGAGATACGGATGAGATCTTCCGTTAGACCTCTGGCCTCGCGCACTGCAGCAGGTATGCTTGCATGGGACATAAAGCAAGGCAGGCTGATGAGGGACTTTACACTCCCTGAAATTATAAGATAATCAAATTAGGGAAGAATCGAGCGACTACAATTTTATGGCAGTCAAACATGCATCCGAGGTGTTTAGCATTAGAGATTAAACATATCATTCTTAGAACCGGCAGCATGTGCTAGATGGCACAATATAAGATCTAGCGTGAGGAAAGCTCACTAAAAAGGAGGTCAAAGCCAAAAATAAATATAACAATGAGAAATATAGAAGAAAATGCTGTTAGCAGACCCCTTTTCGACTTCATGACTGAAGATTGTCCTAGTGTATACTTCTTGCACTAGTTTTCTCCTCAGAGGAAACTTCATGTCTGCAGTGGGTATCAAAAGAACCACCATGTGACATACAAAAGTGGGATGATGCCTTGCACTGAAAAATCGGTAAAGAAAAATGAATTCTAGCCATAGATCTTGTTTGGGTTTATTGGTGATCGTTGATCATGAAAATAATAAAATGAAGGGAGATAATAACATAAGATAACTTTACAAGTGTCTTGCCTGATGAGTGAAAAAGAGCGACAATACCGAAAAGTACTTGGACCCATAAAAGAGAGGCCGGGTGAAAAACACAAAAAGAACTAGTTTACAGAAGTGCCCAGTGACATCCTCACAAGTAGCTTAAAGAGTAGCTCACAAATAGTAACCTACTTAGTAGGTTACCTTCAAGGTTAACAAATAAAATCAATAAAATTTCCCTAAAGACTCATGAAACCAGTCCTAGACCAAATCCAACAACATTCTTTAACACACCATTTCTTTGACGAAATCTATTATTACTCCAAAGAATAAATTTTCCTGATCCGGCAAGATCCCTAGTGAAATCCTACAGAGTCAATTTTCTACATTTCCTATCTCTTCAGATGTCTTTTCCATTGAACCTCTTGTGGCTCAGATCATGTAATTCAATAATGTTGGATGCCACAAACAGGAATTCTCAAACAACATTCTTCCCAGTAAATCTTTAATACCCTGCTTTATACTCTTCCATGGAGTCGGCATTCTTACTAGCTGAACTATCCAAAGTTAAAAGCCAGCAAACCTAGCTTTCTTGCACTGTTAAGACTGCAAACCTTTGCAAGCACTATAGGCAACCACTGCCTTTAGCCTAAACCCACACATTCTTCATCATGAATTTTCCAACTCATCAACTAACCCACCATCATCTTCACCTTCTGCACCAAACCACCTTCCCTAAACAATCCCAATCAACAAATCTGCAACACAACACCACCCCTCTTCACTATCGACTCTGGCAGATTATTCACGTGACCACCATCTTTTACAATATCCTCTCCTCATCAAACTCAGAAAAATGTCTCAGCCCTCCGTTTTTTACTTTCTGAAAACTCATTGCTCAATCCAAGTCATCAATCAACAAGTCTCCATTCTCCAAAAAAACAATGGCATCAGACACACATTCCCACACCTCCTTTATCTTCAGCGAAGAATTAAAATCTTTAAACAGAGAAGAAATATAAAACACAAAACATAACATGGGAGCATAACTTTACCACCTCTTTGCATTTTTGGTGTGGTTGCCACTTAACATCAAAATATTTCCTCTTTACATGCTAAACCTTCCACTTAAGGTCAAAGTTTTCCTCCCATCCCATGCTTTTTTTAACATTTTCTTTAGATAAAATTTCACATTAGAGTATTGAGAAAATTAAATTGTTGAGCGTCAAATGAGAGATGATCAATAAGATGAGAGATTTATAAATCAACTGAATGAGCTGTTAAAGATGATGGAGAATGCTGCTAGATGAGCTGTGATGATTCTAAGTGTTACTAGATATGTGAACAGAGGATGATGCAATTGATGAGAACCCAACATCTAATGATGATTCCAATATCAATGGAAGATCAAATCAAGAAAGCAGTGAGAAAGCTGTTTCAAACAACCATTTCCAATGTTTACAAACTCAAATTCTGAATTATTTGGCATCTGTAACAATCCTCTTGTGGTGTAGGAGGTCATGTTTTGTAGCCTATGTGCTCAAATAGGTTATATGTTATACTCCCATTCATATTTTTGGAAAAAAATCCTAACCTTCTCCAGTAAAAAATCACATATTTCGTACTTAGATTTGTCTTCTGTCGGCATATTTCAGAAATTGAAGCACATTTTGTCATACATAATAAGATGCAGGCTTAACATCAACACAGGACATAGTACGCCTTTCATATACTATCAAATGGAAAATTTACCTCATAAGTTTCATGGGCCTTTCCAGTGTGAAATTCCAGTCTATGATAAGATTGTAATTTCAATTGTACAGAAGCATGACCATAGTTATTTGTAAAGAAAAACCGTTTTGATCAGACACACTTTTGAAGTAATGGAGAAAATTTCAGCAAACTCCGGCACTTGAGTGAGAAGAAAATAATTACCAAAACTGACAGTTATACTGAAGTACTTGGTGGTCTCAACTATGTGCTTAGAGAGTGGCAGCGAGCCCGTCAAGAAGCTAAGCACGGATCCAGCACCTTTGGCCTTCAAAAAGTGAAGCATAAGAGTCTATAGAATTGAAAAGGTAAAGATGGAGAAGGAGAAGGTTGGGGTGGGGTAGTTGGTAATAGGTTTTCTTCAAAAACCTACATTTAGTGTCAGTACCTGAGAATAATGTAAAGAGCGCCCAGGATGGTTAGGAAGACCAGCATAATTAACCTTTTTCACTCGCGGATGGGAGCAAAGGAATTCAGCAATCTTTTGCGCGTTCTCCTGTAAAGATGCCAAAAAAATTATTCCACTTTCCAAGAAGGTTTATCATCATGATGTGAAAAACATATTTAGACAAAACTACTACAGAAATAATTTATATTTTAATATCAAACACAATCCACCAAATGCAGGTAGGTACCTTCACAATTATGGGATTTGCAGCTGCAATAAACAACAAAAGACGGTGGTTGTCTTATAGACACATCAGAACATACTTTATGCATGGCGAGGGAGAGGGAGAGAGAGAGAGAGAGAGAGAGTATCAACTTCTCACCCAAACACACTCCCTGCCACATGGCCATAACTGTAGTTTGTAATCTTCTGGCATTAGTATAGTGCTACTGGCTTCCACAAACACCACGTAAAAATTTTCAGACACCCTGAACTCCACAACTTAAATCTACATTAAAAGCCACCACTAGATGCTTGCAGTTCAAATGTCACCAAATAAAACACAGCATTATTTTGCATCCGACAGTTAGTCCCAATCTCAAAAATTAAGCTTGTTGTGTCATTTGGATCTTGTCTTGTTACAACTGCATTTATAGTATCTACTTAAAATGTTTATTTCTGTTTTACACTGATATCAATCAAGCACATGTCATCATGTTATAACTGCTTGTTCTTTCGGAAAATAAAAAATGTTTATGAATCTCTTTTTGGAAACACTCTGGAAGTTCCACAGAGAAATTCCAACCAACATGGCAAGAGACATTATTTTAGTTTAATGCATTAAGAATAATAAAAGAATTTTGTACAGAATGGAGATGTACTTTGATATCCCCATATTATTTACTTTGATTCAACCATATAAATTGTATGGTTTTAATCAGAGAAAATCATATCTTGTATAATAGGTGGGACACACAGATTAGCAGTTGAACGGTGCAGAGCATAAACTATCTGTTCTGACCACTTGCTTTGACCTCAAGTTTCATAGCCATTATTATATACTTAGATCACCATTAGCTTCAATTGAAGTAGATAATAATGTTGCAGAAATACTCGCAAACACAGTGAAGAAACACCACAATATATTTGATTTAAATGCTCTACATAGATTTATACGATGTAATAGAACCAGTTACAATAGCACCTGCTGCTTCTCAACACGTAAGGCCATGGTCTTAATGCCCCGTAGACAGATCCAACAGTCAAATGGAGCTAACCCAGAACCTTCTGCATTTTGGAGGAAATACAAGTCTTTTGCCAACCTGATGCATAAAAGAAGTGCAAAATTCATTTTAAGTAAAAAAAAGATGAACTCAAAACGAGACCCAAGAATGTATGTACCGTACAAATAATTGCACAAGTTTGTCCATGAATGAATATCTAAAATTATAGCCTAGGATTGGCACGTTGAATAGCAAAGGGTGTATGAAATTGTGATACTATACCACTAAATACATAAACATCAAAATCTTCATCCTTGGTTGAACAAGGTCCAAATAGATAGGATTAGGAAATAGAAAAAGCACATTAGAACATGTCCATACAATAAACATCAAGGTGTATTTTTACCTTTTTGTTTGGGTGGAGGTTTGGAGTGGGTGCTTGGGAGGTTTAGAATTGATTGATATATTTGTTAAAGAACAGATGGCTCAAAATCCTAACCATTTAACTTTCAGAATAGATTTGAGTACAAGTGTGCCAGAAGAAAGGTTCAATGCTATTGCAACCTCTTCTCAAACCTTCAGTTCAGTTTTAACATACAACAGCATCGTCATCTAAAACTGTTCATCCTTTGCATTTGCAGTTTCAAGATAGTGACTATCGTTCAGCGATAAATTCAATTTAGATCTCTGAATCAGTTCAGGACTCATTCTCAGATTGGTATTCAATTCAAAACTGAATATCATTTGTATCAGAAGGATGAGGAAACTGCCACATTAATAATTTTAGTCTCGACAATGATGAACAACCAAAACCCTAGATTTACATCTTTTTAAAAGCTAAAATCTATATTTGAGAGAGGAACAAATCACAAACCAGGTCTAGATCTTTATTGCACACACACACACACACACAATCTCCTTAGAAATGTATTTTGTCCAAATTTACTATAGAATCCGACGGCTGCTCTCTATAAGCAAGCCCAATCCTATGGATTTGAGCCAGAATCCAGCATGGATTATACTGCCAATTGAGTGCCAATTCTAGTTACCAACATGAATTAACATTGATTATGATGGCAAATGTCTCAATTACAACCACTCCCACCACAGAACTACATAATTAGAAGTGTGGCAAGGAATGTGGATGATGCATCAATGAATTAAATTGAACAAATGAAACAAGTCTTTCACAAGGTACACCTTTCCCCTTTTACCGCAAGCACGCCCGCCATTACATCACTGTGTCCAGCTATGAATTTAGTAGCAGAATGCATCACAATGTCTGGAAAAAGCAATGGAATCATCAGAAGCAACAAATAAAATCTTGGACGAGAGACTGCATTTCTTATATCTGAAACTTAAATAAAAATAACTTGTTTTAATACCTGCTCCAAGTTCCAATGGTTGAGACAATACAGGGGACATGATGCTGTTATCCACCAACACAAGAGCACCACGAGCATGAGCTATCCCTGCTATTTTCTGCATGGAAATTAACAACAAAAAAAAGGTATTCTGCTGTCAGAAAGCACCAACAGGCCACAATTCTTTAAGGGTCATAATTTTAGTAAGAAAGAATATATTTCTGGGTACTTCGAACTATGGAATGATGCCCAAACAAAATTGAGCCTCTAAAACCATCAAGAAAACTATTCTTTTCCTTTATATCTCAAGGTGTTTATGGTTCAACGCTATTGCTAGCAACAGAGAGATAGAGAAAATAATAGCGGTTTCAAGTAACTATCCTTATATGAAAAGCGCAAGTGATAAATGCATCTCTGTGCTTCTAAGTGCCAGCCAGTGAAAAAAAGAGGCAGTGAAGTGCTGAGGAAACAACCAGAAGTGGCAAAATTCAATCACACAGAGATGAAGGCCAAAAAAGGAAGAAAAAGGATCAAGTCCCAGCAGCAAAGGCAAAGTTCAATCAAGTCAAACAAATGAAGTGTAAGAATGCAGCAACAGGACTAAGTCCCAGCAGCGAGAAATTTTTTAACCCAAAAGTAATCTCCCTTTTTCATATTTTCATTCCCATACATCCATAGAAAGAAAAATACCCAAAAGCCCTTGGAAAAAAAAAAACCTTTATTCCAAAAGATCCAAGATTTTCCTTTTTTATTAGGAAAAATCCAAAAGGAAATATTTTTCTACCAGATAGACCAACTGCCCATTCAATCCGTAATGACATTCAAACTCATTGACTATTAGCTATAATTACCCTTGCATGTTTGCACAATTCAACAGTCAGCATAGCTAGAAGAGACGTACATGAGGTCTTCTTTTTGTGAAAAAATCATACATGGCATCTCAGAGTTTTCTAAGTTGCTGCACCATTGTACCAAATTTTATTGCAAGAATCACAGCAAATCACAACATGGTTTCAAAATATATTCTCAAGCAGCAATACTTGAAAAGACTTCACACACGAGTAATGTAGGTTTTAGCATTATTCTTTACAATGCCCAAATTTAAATGTGAGGATGCATGTACAGATATTTTAACGTATGTACTACACTGATTGCTCCAACAACAACTAGAAACAATAGTACGCAATCATAACTTCAACTTTAAAACTAAATAACTTACACGAATATCAGAAATTTGTTGCCGAGGGTTGGTTGGACTCTCCAGCCACACAAGCTTTGTCCGGGAGCCAATTGCAGATGCAACTTCATCCAGATCAGTTGTATTCACTCGTCTACATAATGTAACAAAATTTATCGTAAGACTTGCAGATAAATCAATACGAATAAAATGAAATCACACCCTTTGTGGTCAGAACAAAGAAAAAAATATACTAACTTAACCATGATTCCAGTTTTTGGAATTACTTGCGACAACAACCGATCAGAACCACCATAAATGTCATCTCCAGCAACAATTTCCTCACCTATGATGACATCCTTACCAATAAATATGCAAACATGGAAGGAGTCTCTGGCAGTTTGAAAACATCAATCAATATAAGAGGCAAATTTGATATCTATACATGGATAAATTTACATACCAATGGCACTGCTAAATTTGTACGAAAGAATAAAATCGGTATTTAGCAAGGACGTCATAACATCAATCTAGATCATATGATCATAAAGCACACACAAATGAGGACACATCACCGAGGTTATGAACTGAATAACAACTTAATCATAATAACACGATGCACTTGTCTGTACTACTCATGCCTAAGTATTTTAGAACATCTGTACAACATGTGTGCATGTCAGTAGAAGACATAAAACTGTGAAAGCGAAAAAGCACCTGTCCCAAGAAGATGAGTGACAGCGGCCAAAGCAGCCATCCCACTGGTAAAGCAAAAGGCTCGATCTGCTTTGTCAAGCTTTGCCAGGAGACTGAGTGTATGCAAACAGAATAATGTTGCCAAGAAAAAATAGAGCAATGATGAAGATTTATAAAACTACATCAAGGACATTATGCATAACGATAGGCAAACTCAGACCTTTGCAAGGCATCCCGTGTAGGATTTCCACTCCTAGTATAATCATAAGGACCATTCTCTGCTGCTGAAGGCTGTAGAATAGGGTACAAAAGACAAAGTTCAAGTGAAAAATACAAAATGATGATATCACATGAGTGAAACGTCATGTTAAACGCCTACATGCATTACATCTGATTCCTTACAAGCCAACATACATGATAGAAATAATGATAACAAGAAGTCAACAACGAAGATGACGGTTGTAACTGGAACTCAAGTGAATGTTACAAAGCATTCAAGTTATAACTTAAGAAGCACGGGCACGGACACAACATTTCTCAAAAAATTATAACATGTACCTGTTAGGGATATGCTACACATAGTTGTGTTTTATATAAATTATATAATTTATCACAAATATAGTGATAATGATATATATTACTCATAAAAAATTCAATATTTTATGATAACTAAATATTATGTCTAGTTATCTTGTGTGAATTTTCAAACTAAAATCAAGTTTTTCATTGACGTATACTAAACATATATAATTTAAATGATTGCTTTCATTTTCTCAATTACTATCTAGTATCTAGTAAATCTTTTGTCTATCTTGTCCTTTTGTTATTATATTTTCAATACAACTTTAACATGTCTAATCATGATAATTATATGTTCTCTAATAGTATAAGATACTTAATAGTCAAATTTTTAAACTTTGTTAATCACATGTTTATTATTTAGTAATAGATACGGTCTAAACAAGTGTTAGACACGTAATCAAAAAAGTGTAGGATACGTGTTCGAAATTAAAATTTTATCATTTAATTATGAACACGAATAAAAGAATATTGTACACGTGTCTGAAGAGTGTCGGTGTTCGACATAGATACGTCACCTTCATGAGAGTATCGGTACTTCATAGTTATAACCCCAAAAATAATCTTTTAAACCACCTCCCCCATTTTCTCTTTTTTAAGTTCTTGGGCACCCTATACTTATAGGTGAGAATGCTTAGAGCCTATGGCTTGGTAAATGGTAAAACCTTAAATTGTTAACTGGGAACGAGTATTTGAGCCTTAGGGTAGCCATAATTGGCAAATAAGAACAAAAGTTAGACTTATACTTAATCCACCCATCATATCATCCTATACATAGGGTTCAAGCTTAGCAGTGGCCTTTCTCAAGAATATTAATGACTTTGCTTCGTAAGTATCCTCAACATTTCTTTTCCCTTATTCTCTATAATTGGATTTCTAGAAAATATATAAATACATATCTGTGTGTGTGTGTGTGTGTTGGGTGGGTTCTTTTTTTTTTTTTTTTGGGGGGGGGGGGGGGGGGGGGGGATCTGACAACAAAAGTTGTATTAAGCAATGCACCAACTACTTTGTTAGATTAGTGAGTCACTTTTTATCATTATTCCCTCAACTTTATCGATTGTCAGGTTTCAATAATGTTTTTGTGACTAGTTTGTTTATTTTGTGGTTCCTCCTTCCTAGGGAGTGGAATTTCAATTTTTTCCATAACCTTAATGATAGGGGAACTATGGAGTTGGCTTCTTTTGTCCCGCTGATTAGTAAGGTCTCGTTAGATTTGTGACATTTGTTGGTCAAAGATAAAAGAGTTTGGTCTCTTGATTCTTTTGGAATTTTCTTTTGTGTTTCCTATTTTTAATATTCAATTGATAATCCTCAATATCTATTATTTGAACCTCCCTTGATGATTTGGAAGGCTAGAGTGCCAATGAAGGTGCAAATGTTTGCTTGAGCAATTGCTCATAGTAGGGTGAATACTTGTGACTTGTCGCAAAAGAAAAGGCTAACATGTTTCTTTCCCCGAATTAGTATATTTTGTGTATGGATAGTGGTGAAACTATTGATCATATATTTCTGCATTGTTGTAGTAAAAAAATTTTGTGACAAAAGCTTGTGTGGGAGGCGGATGTGCAGTGTGGAATGTCCCGTGATACTATATCCTTATTTATGGCAAGGTTTGGTGGGTTTAGGGGTGGAAAAAAACTTCAACAATGGGAGATATGTTTTTTTGGTTATTTTTTTGGGTTGTATGGATGGAGAGGAATAGCAAAATTTTTGGGAAGGAGGAAGAAAATAAGTCGTTGAGGGATGGGGTGAAGTTTTTAGCGTCATTTTGGGCGAGAGTTTCAAATGAGTTTAGTGACATCCCTCCTTCAGTTTTCCAACAAAATTGGAAAGCCGTTTGTTGCTGAATTGTCTTTTTTGGTTACTTTTGTTTTGGTTTTTTTTTTGGGTGGATTTCTTATCTACCACTTTATGTTCTTTTTCATCTCAATGAAATGAAAGTTTTGTTTCTTATAAAAAAAAGTGCAAGCACAAATCAACTTGTATAAAGCATATAAAAGCAATACCTACAGAGGCCGGGGACATTTCTGTTTGGCCCACACACACACACACTTGAATCTCAAAATTGTAAGTCAATGGAGCATTCCAAAAATCGTATATCTTTAGCTTATCTAATAGTTAAACACATTAAAATCTTCAAAATCTAGAACGTGGTTGCTAAACTTACCTGCTTGAATGTGGCTGTTTGATAGAGAGGAGTACTCAACGCATCATAAGGATCAAACTTATTGTCAAAATTCATCAACATTGTTGAAATACTTGGCTCCACCGGCTCCTTAATCTCCATTTCTGCCATCAACTAACCATATTAGCACTCATAATTGCAATTAAACCTCAGTTTAACAGACTCTTTAACAATTTAACCAGACAAACCATCCAAGCATTCAGCAGCGCCATCAACCAAAGCCGATGTGCTCACATCCATCTCTTTGTCTCTCGAGCAATTCAGTTCGAATTTCTTTGTAGACAATAAGTGACTCCCCCGCCCAATCCCTGAGGTTTTGGACCAGAAACTCACTGGGTAATTACCAGACCCAAAACCCTAAAATCAACACAATTCACGCATTCAGAATCAGAACCAAAACCTCATTGACCAAAAATAAGATAGTCAGACCCAACCTCCCTCCCCCCCCCCCCCCCCGGGGGGTTTGGCTGCCAAGAAAGAGAAAGAAAACAAAACTCCTCTTTTCCTTACAGCTTTGGATTCCCAAAAAACAAACAAATCGAGAAATTGAATACCCAAAGAAGCAAAAAGGTTCTCATCAACCTCAATAATTAAGTCCAAACTTTGCATAAACACAAACATGTATATCTCTATGAGGACTTGAGGCACTCACATGGTCGTGTTGGTCAAGTGGGAGAGATATAAAGAGTGATTGGAGAGACAAAGAAGAAGCCATTAGTGGAGAGAGATCTTAGGTTTTAGTTGTTTAATGGTGCGCCGCCATCAGAATTGGTGAAATCAAGCCCTTACTCTTTAGTCAGAGAGAGAGAAACACGTAACTATTGTACTGGCTTTGGGTAGATTTTGTAACACGAAGAACTGTGACTTTGTACCACGTTGTACAAAGTCACAGTATTTTCGAAATGACAAGGTTTCTATGAAAAACTACAAGTTACTGTATTTCGTATCTTTCGAAGAAACGCCAAACAAAATCGCGAAGATTTTTGGAAGAGCCTCTATTAATAATAAATATAAGAATATACACTATTATAAAAAAAAAAATCAAAATACTGAAATATGTGTATTTAAAATTTAATTTTTTATATTTTAAGGTAAAAAAGTATAATTAATTTTCAGAATTTAATAAAAAAGGATAATTAAATATTTTATAAAAATCAGTGATTTCAATTGAAGTGTCCAGTTTTTTTTTTTTTTTTAAAAAAAAGAATTTATTTTAAGATTCATGTTTTCGAGTAGACGTACTCGTGTTAATATATATTTCCAAATAAAAGAATACAATATCATAATAAATGCCTTTGTGAAAATTAAACTGAATTAAATTAATTATGTTCTAACAACTCAAGTTGCTCTTGGGATGCAATTGCAAACTACTCTCCACGTGTTTAATAGCAGTGCAGAGCCGGCTTAACAATATTATCAAAAAAAGATTGGGCTTTAGGCCTATTTTTAAATGAAGGCCCCAAATCCTTCGGCATTATCACTATCCATTACTCTCGTCATCATTTTTGTATTTATTTATGTTTAACCAAAATAATTTTTTAAGTGTAAAAATTAAATTTTTTATCAACTTTGAGTTTAAATTAAAGTGAAACACGATCATTATTTCGAGTGAAATTTTGTGGGTTCATATTCTACTCCGTGAGAAAAATAATGTAATATATATACTTGTTCAAATCGAATAAGAAATGAATGAGAAAATAGGTTCTAAAGTGATCTTCTTGAAATGTGGAAATAAAGGTTGTGCAATATGAGATTTAACACCAATCCCACATTAATTGAGGAAGAAATTCAATATGGGCATATATAGGCTAAGTTTGCTCTATGAGATTGGGCCTAAGGGATATCACAGTTTTATAAGCGGGCACGAGTCTCTATATGCTTTCGGTTCAACCACACGCACGTGCTACTTGCCCGCCACGTCACGACTCGGCTGGTCTTGGGTGTAGGTTAAACCAAGCCTCATCTTTTTGGAAAAAGTTTTTTTAATTAATTGGGTGAGAATTTTTTAACCAAATTTAATTTTTGGTACACATTAGATCACACTGGTTCTGATGTGTTGCTTTCCCTCCAATCCGAAATTGAGTTGTGACTATTCATAAAGGATAGTTATAAGTGGTGTCTACTGATGTGCATTTGTCTTCCTGGATTGTTTCTTTTAGTACGGTGGCTATTCGAAAAGTCACTAAAATGTCTATAAATAACCAGAATCATTACCATTCTGGATTCAATTAATTATTCAGTTCATTTTAGCATTAAGACAAACATTCAAACATTAGTGCATTACAGTCTGCATATTGGCATTAAGGCAGTGTGTTGGAGAGTACACAACACAATTTTTTTGTTCGCTGGACGAATAGATTAAAGTGCTACTTTTATTCGTGTAAAGATCATTGTATCATGCAAGGCAGACGCTCAATATTCCATAAACACTGTGTGTGAGGGCAAAATCTGTCTTAAAAACATAGTGTCAAACAATAGCTTTGATCTACATCAACTTCAATAATTATACATGTTCTACACTGGGTTAGTATTTTTTTTTGATTTGACAGACAATTACGTGTAATTGTTTGTTGTTATTGTTTCGTAAGATTGCTGTAATTCTTTCCTGTAAAACTATTTTTGTGTAACTGTTATACACTTGATTGTTATTATTTTATTTTAAATTACATAAGATCAGAAATTTCAACAAAGTAATTTTATTATATTTAGAATACCACAAACAACAACTTATTGTGGTTTCAATTTGATCTTGTATTATGCACTACTCTTCTTGATATTTGAGCTAATTGTTAAGATTTTAGTTAATTAATAATGAACCAATGAACTTTTGATTTAATGATACTCTTTGTCTTGTGAAGGTTTTACCTTCTTAAGGTTAAAAGTTCAAACCCCCTCCCTCATCCCCTCACCCCTTCTCCCCCCCCCCAAAAAAAAAGAAAGTTAATTAATAATGATTTCATATAACATGTATATGGTAGTTTATTCAATAATGTGAAGTATTGATGTGTTTAAAGATTTATGTGATTATAATATTTTGATTTTTATCTTATTCTAATGAGTTGATAGATGTAGTTAGACAATAAATTTTAATTTTTTTAGTGGGGAATTAATATAAAGTTACTAAATACAACATTAAATATGATTATTAAATATGTTTTCTGTTTTAATTTTTGTAATTTCTTAAATAGAAACAACAAATAAACATGATTACCACAAAAAAAAAAAAAAATCTGAAAAACAGTAACATTGTCTAAGACCAAAAATGACATTTGATTGAGATTTTACTGCAAGTCATGTAAGTGATATTGATATTGTAGCAACTTCAAGAGCATCTAGTTGCACATTGCCATAAAACTGCGACCAACATACTTGAGATTTACACTCAGAAATAATCAGATTGTGTATACTACGATTAGGTTTCAAGAGAGCACTATTCATTCAAACAAAGATGTTCTATAAGATTGAAACTGCAAATGATCACGCTTCGAGGCATCCATAGAATGCTGAAAATTATAAAGGTACAAAATCAATTGAAAAAATGTTCATATTGTGTGGCCTAATCTGCAGACATTTAGGTATACATTAGGCACCTTCGAGGAGAAGGTGCTTACACGTGTCGATACATATACTGTTCTAAAAGAAAAAAAAAAAAAAAAAAAGGACTAAAAAAAAATGAAGCCACTTTGGGTCAGCACATCAAAAGATTACATCAAGCATTACGCTATTGCGCAACCAGATGCATATGAGCCATTTTCAAGGTGAAGGTGGGGCATGAGCAGCCTCTCGGGAGGATTGTGCCAACTGCGTCTACATTCTGCTCTCAAAAAATGAAGAAAAAGTTACAAAGAAAAAGAACAAAGCCACGGTGGGTTAGGAAAGCAAAAGATTACACAAGTGACTGCCTTCCTGTACTCCAGGCAATAAGCAAACTCATAATCAACACGAATTAGTCCTCCATTTTCGACCTGCATAACCACAAAAATCTGTTTAATTTCAAGATGGATGACAAGAACTAGGTTTCACACAGGCAAAAAGTTGTGAAAGAGCCCTTGTGCCCAATTAAGAGCCGAGTTGCTTCAATATAATTACTGTTGAAATAAAGGGAAAGTGCTGTAATTCGTATTACAATCTCACAGCGGAGTCTAGAATGTGAAGAGGGGAATCTTTGGTTTTGTTGCAGGGGAAGCTATTCCGAGCAAAATGCTGCTGATAGGTTCAAACTTAGGTCTACAAGCAGGTTCAAACTTAAGTCTATCATTTTTGCATTTCTTGTTATGATTTGTGCTAATCCAAAGAATTTTATTGAACAATTTAGTGGAAGTTTCTCCTAAATTTTATACCACAGAAGTATTTATTGCCATTTTTAAGCTATATAAGACTCTGTTATATATGTCTTCATCCAGGAGAACAAATTGTATTCACAAGTGAAGCCTAGGATTTGTACGCCTGCAGGAGCACATAGAAAACGTAACAGTCACTGTCCATGTGGATGAAACAATTCTTAGGTAAAACATTTATGTGATCTTCTCTTTTCCACTGTGTGGGCTAAAGTTCTTCAATCCAAATACTCATACCTCTATGAGCAGTAGCTCCCATACAAATAATCTAAGTCGTACACCTACATGCATAACGGTATATTACAGTTGTCGATTCATTGATATCAAGTGAATCTAGGCAATTTGACAATCATCTAAATATAACTCATTCAGTGCAGGGCCTAATACTCCCATGCGAATCCCAAATTTCCTGATAGTTGATGGGGATACAGAACTCTCCAGCACAACAGATTCAGATAATTTGTGAGAAACTAGTGGAAAGAAATAATCCACAATTCCTACCATAAGCCATAAAATTGCAAAAATAATATGATTAAATGTACAGCCTAATTCTCTTTAAGGAAGTCAGATTCACTGCATTCAAGTAAAATATCACTTCTTGAATCCTGCCAAACAGACAGAAGCACCCAAATAAGGAGAGTAGGTAATGCTCAATACAATTTTCTTATCATGAATATATGTTGCCATATCCCATGTATCTTTTGCCCAAGAAAAATATTTGGCATCCTACAAATTCTTTCATATAGCTGGCCAAAAGACTTCTTTATTTGTTTTTTTAATTATTTTTCTTAAATAAAATCTGAAGTGAGCTAAATAAAATGCACAAAAAATGGAAACAGAAGACATTTACCTTTTCTTAAATCTGGAATTTCTTCGAGTGGAAGCATGAGTCTCAACTATTTGATCTTTCATGCTGCTTTTCTTGGCTCTGCTTTTAGAAAAACATGCGAACAGAAGCACGTTACGGAACCTTTGCTGATTATTATAAACAGTAATTGCTATAAAAGATCCTAGAGCTTGTACTACCTTGGACGATGCGATTGAACTTCACCATCACATGGTTCCGGCTCTGTAACCTCACTGGAAGCATGAGAACATTCTTCCCCTTCAACAGATTTTGCATCTTTTGAATCATGTGAAAATTCAGTCACCTCTTCCGACGATTGATCAGTGACCTCACCATCTGTTTCATCTCCAAGAAATTCAAGGAACAAATCAATTAGCAGCAAAACAATTTTGTATAAAAGTACCTATATCACATGCTACATGAGGGATAATAGCAAAGACTGGATAAGGAAATAAACTTCCTGAACTTTGTGAAACTCCCTAAGAAGATGGTTTCCCTCTAAAAATAACTGAAAGCCCATTCGTGTTGGAACTTAGAGATGTTGAAACAACTAAGCTTAATTTTGTTGTGTAAAATTCCCAAATGAATAAACTTCCTAAACACCTTCTGTGTTTCAGAGCCTGAAACAGATTCAAATCCTTGGAAGCATGTACTGGTCCTCCCGCTTGGTTATATCAACCAAAAAGGAATACAAGTGAATGCAACTGTTAAGGGCTAACAGCATCCTAGCAAAAAAAAAGGCCATCAATTGCAGTTGGCTCATCAAATCGCGTAAAATCAATAGACCGGGTATAGACTTTAGTCACTTTACTTCGGCTTTTATTGCACACATAAGGAATAGTCCTCAAAACTCCCACCCATTGAATATTAAGATTTGCATTCCAAACTATTTCTATTGCATCAACCAAAGCAAACGTTTCTGTTGTCACACCATTTTTTGCTGCTCATAGATATGCTTTCATGGACGAGAATTAGAAAACCACAGTTAATTGTCAAGTTGTCAATAACATGCCCTTTATATTACTTGAGAATAGTCCTACTAACATCTAATTCTTAGCCATCATATATACAGCACTATGACTTTCAAACTAATAAACTTCATTTTCAAGCTGAATTTGAAAACGGTCACTCAGAGTTGTCACTGCCAAGTTATTTATATATTCCTTGTCCCTTCTATTATTAGATTTTATTTTGATTTCTTAGATTCAATGCTAAGAAGAATGATATACAAAAATGACATCATTGAAATGCTTAGAACCATGAAATTACAATCCTATTGTAGCAAAAATTAATGTTTAGAATTCATTTTCTTTCAAGTCTTGCTTGAGTTCTAAATGCACAATTGTATTCTAACTTTTAGACAGACTAGACTTATAGGAAAATTAAGTGGAGAAAAGAGGAGGAGAAGGAGCAGAAAAAAAAACAATATGAATATATCAAACCACTATTTTGATGTTTATGACACACTGAAACTCAAGCAGCGACTGAAGTTTCTAGTATCAACAGTATTTAAGTAGCCACAACACACAAGCAGGGATACTATAATACCTCTCTTCTTTTATAAATTCATCTAGTGTGATTGGCAGCTATTGAAGCATGGAATAATCACTGGAGTTTCATAACATAATGGCTATCTAATGTTTTTTAGGGCATATAATACCAGCCATGTTGCCCAGAACCCACTAGTATACTAGAGTGATGCAGGAGAAAGAATAAGGATAGAAAGTCCAGAGCAATCAAATGCATCAGGTAGACCAATTAAGTTGTTCTAGCATTCAAGGACTTTAGACGGTTTTATCTGATTGAACTTTCATTCTCAAATATTTCTACGTACTAAGTTACTATTTTTTGGGCCAACAAAACATAGTCCTGCACAAAGCAAAATGGCAAAAAAGATTCATAAAGCCGACCACCCCCAGAAAATTGATCAATGGTTATCTGTTTTGCTGTAGTTGTTTTTTAGCTTAAAGATTCTAAATTACAAGATCTACTTAAGTTTTATAGCTGTATTTTGACTCTTTTCTCATTCTGCAATCCAGCCCACATGTACTAAGGCTATTTTGGTGTCATTTGAAACCCATGGGATACAGAACAAATGTGCCAAATTTTAGAATGTTTATGTGAATCATGAGGGTTTTCTAGTATATGCATAGGAGACTGACTGCTGTAAAACAAGATTAGGCTTAAAGAATAGTTGTTGGAAGTGTGTGCTAAACTGAAACAAGCCATTATGGAGTAGATTTCTCTCTCTCTCTCTGGTTTGAGGCATTTTTGCTGCACCTAAACCTTTTGGTGCACATTTTACAAACTCAACATATCTTGTTTATTAATATCTTTTAACCTAAAAATTTTGCTATTGCAGTTCGACACGAAATAGAAGAAACATAGGGTGTCCTGCACAGTCAAGAAACTCCCAATGATCGACGCACAACATACAGCCATGGTAAGGAAGCCAATATAGTTATACCACCTTATCTTACCACATGGAAACAATCAACCTACCAAAATTTAAACCTTCTCAGAATGTTTTTGGAGTATAGTCTTTGGAGTTTCTATAATTTCATGTAGATAAATCAATCAGTATTGGATTCTGGTATGCACAAGCATTCCTAGAATTTTTTATATGCTTCTTGGAGCTACTCAACTTAACAAAGGATTTATCCTTGCTATTTGGAGTCGGTTATATGAATCTTGTTTCTCTATTTTACTCAATAGCGGTTCATATTTTCCTTTAAATCACGAATAATCATATCCATATGTACTATCTTGTTCAGAGTTAAATAAGTTTATCTCTTCAACTCGCATTGCCATCGATATGTATGACATCATTCTTGGACCTACTGTATATAACAATTCAACATGTCTAGCACCTAAAGCCAAAGAGGCCTCCTACCTAATTTTTCCAACCATAAAATTTACTCCCCTTTCCATGAAGCAGATTGAGGGGTTTGGACCCAATCTCCTACCTAATTGTTAAATATGTTCAAAATGGTATACAAAGACAAACTCCAACCATAAAAATTTAGTAACCTTGTCATCAACGAATTGATGTGTTTATGCCTTCCTCCGTATCATACGATACTAACAACTATGATTGCACCAACATGAGATAAAGGGTTAAAGGTAATACAGCCACAAGTTCCGATGTTTCTTTGTCTGTTTTAGAAACTTGAAAGACTTGAGTTGTAGATTCATCGAGAGGTGCGGTTGTATTTAGTTTCAAATTCTGTGAACCTCATTGTACTAAAAATCTATGTCTATAATTTTCTTGGTTGTATCCGTTTATGAATGTCCATATGTATGTTTGTATTTTGATGCAACAGTTATCTTATGCATGTATGGCAGGGATAACCATGTATTTAGGATTCAATCATGTATTCCTGTTTCAATTTGGTATAATGAGATTTACACATTGTAGGGTACCCACTTTGTGTCTATGTGTAAATGAATGTTTTACACACACTTTGGGAGAAAAGCTACTAAGGAGCAAGTAATTGAAGAAAGCCTGACTTGTAGTAAACATGTGCAATATAAAATTACATCATCATAAAGATGATGACCCCTTATGAGTTTGAAAGTACCACGGGGAAGTCCTTGACTGTACAATAATATATAGTCATTTAGGACCAAAAAAGACTATAAGTGAGGAATTGGATTGTCAAGAGTGGAATTTAGTTTGTGGGAACTTAGACGTTGAAACATAACTTTGTGTATTGTATGCTTTCTACTAGCTCTTTTTATTAGTTTAATATTTACGGCTCAATATAAATCACATAGGGAGATAGATGCTCAAAAAAAATTTCAATCCTCAACAGATAGATATATGGAATAGCAATATAAACAAAAATAAAAATTGCACGTGTGCGCCAACTATAGAAATAAATCAATATGAAGAAAATTTATTCAAGCATGGATTTGATTGCATCTACCTTCAGCAATTTCAGACTCAGCACTTTCTTCTCCATCTTTCTTTGTCGCTGTAAAACTTTCCATGCTATCTATTTTTTGTTGATGTGCTTGTGCGTTTTTGGCTGTAAATTCCTGCTCCTTCTTTTCTACGTGGAATTTATTAATCTTTTCCTCAAACTCCTCAATGCATGCTTTTAGTTCTGGTTTAGCAAACTTCTTCCCCTAGTTGAGGATACCAGGCCAAAGACAACAGAGGTATAACTATAGACGAATTATCCATAAAAGTTTTTTTTTTTTTTTATCAAACATAAAAGTTTATTGAAATATGGAGATGCAAAAGCAACAGATAATACCTTATTGAGTATACTTCTAAAGTGATCCATTACAGAGTCCTCAGATAGGACATGTTCATATGTCTTAAATGATTCCATCAGCTTCTTCATGCTCTTCTCAGTAAATGCTAGCTGAGAGAGGCAATATGAAATATATTCCCATTGCCTAACGTCTGCACCAAAATTTGTTTGCCACAGTCAACAAAAAGCACCATCATTAATATAGAATGGAAAACGATGCTTAGGCTTCTCCCTATCCAACCGGTTTTGTGACAATACAATGAACTTATTTATACTAATCACTCGAGAAAAATATGGCTCTCAGAAAATAATGTTTCGAGACAAAAACTAAAAAGAAAAAAAAAAACAGCTTCCCATATCCCATGCAAATTGTCGAGCTTAAACAATCAAATCAGAACACTAAGACAACAAGATGGCCACAAACTTCTAATGTTTTCAGAACAATGGACACAAGCTCCATCAATTAGATTAATTCTTTGTGTATGTTGGAACATCGCTATTCTAGGATATGAGGGGTACTATTATGCTTTCTTGGATTTTGTTTAATATAAATACGGGGATTAAGGGCAGAGTAATCTCAGACTAAAATCCAGTTTTGCATTAGATGTCATTCCTTCCTATCCTTCTTTCCTTTTTCATTCTTTCATAGTTCAACTTTCAGCTAGGTATCAGAACATATGAGGAAGCACAATCCAACTCCAAAAAACCCTAAAACATGCAGAGAATCATCTGAACTCTGATGGTTGCCACAGAACTAAATCAAGGCTTTCCATAAGGCTCATGTTAGCATCTGTACATGAAGTTAATGTCTGGAACCACATATGGTGGTTTTTGTGGAATTTTTAAATGCCATTGATGCGTACTTTCCATTATCAATGGGCTTTTGGCATTTTAGACCCTTTTTCAGATCTGCTTTTTTGGAGTACTCTCGCATTGATCTTCTCTGTTCAAACTAATTAGATAGGTGCAATTAGTAACACCTCCAAACTAATGTATGAGCGTTATGAGCCTCTTCACTGATTGCCAATTAGTTGAGTTTGATGCTTTAACAAAAACAGTAATTTGACTAGATCGAATGGCACATACAGTTAGCAGAATAGTGGCTATATATGACAGAAAACAGATCACATATAAGCGTATGCAAGTTGCTGGCAAAATTTGAAAATTTTCACAAAACAATGCAGAAGCAAACATTTACTAAAAAATGTCAGGGAACTATTGGAACTTATCTCTAAAATCCCAATATAATTTTCCAATTGCCTTTTGTGATTGTAGTTTAAAATCTGTGATAGACATGTGTATGCTCACAATTCAAGGGATCCAAGTGTGCTGATATTTTATTTTATTTGGGGCCACAAAATCATCCAAGAAGGTTACACAATAAAAAAGGAATCAGACTAGCAAATAAGAAGATGAGACATGGATAGAAACATTTGGAATCAGCCATACCTGTTACTCCACAAAATCTATTGCAAAGCTTCTCCACAAGAGCTTCCATTTGTTTATCCTAAATAACATTCAGAAGAAATAATGAAAACATATCTCTGGAAGAAAATTCTTCCCTTAAACAAAGTTAGAGTCTATACCTTCTTGATGGAACCAATTAAAAACTGCATGATGTTGCAAAAACATTCACTGTTCAAGTTCTGGTTGCATAATTTGCCAAGGATATCCGGCAGTAAATTGTATATCGGATTGCTCCCTGTAGGCAGAACACATAAATCTCAGCTTCGTTCAACATGTCAAAAACAAACACACGTACTAAAAGTGGGCTAGTCATCATTACAAATTTAGCAGCTGGGCAACACGTTACCTTTCTTTGACAACTCGTTAAAAAAAAGTTTGGCAAGATTTGAAATCCTCTCATCTTCATCTTCTAATCGCATAGCCATTTCATTTATATAACCTTTCACCTAACCAACCAAAGATCAGAGTCAGGCCTTAAAATGGCTAATTCCATAAGATAACAAAAAATATGGAGTGATGGCTAATTCCATTAGATAGCAAAAAATGGAGTGATTAGCCAGCCCCACAAACCTTCATCATATCGTTCAAAATGAGGTGAGAGAGAACTAAGACAGCATTCTTCCTGACAGAAACTGACGGATCCCTCAAGCGTGCATACATGTTCTCTGTCCATGGTTCTAATAGATTAGGAAAACGAACTGCCAGGTCCCCCAGAGCGATAGTGCAATTGGAACGAACAGCTTCCGATTGTGCACTCTCCACAACAGTGAAGAGAATCTGGAGATTTGCATCACTGGGAAGCCATACATATGAAAGATAAGCCATTTTGCTGATTTCATACACACGAAATAAACACCAAGGGAGAGAAAAAGCTCACCAGTAGTCTGCATCAATGATCATAAGCCGACATAAAGCAAGCATTCCAGAAGCCTGCAGTTCAGGATACTACAGGAGACACAGACTTCATGTCAGTTCATCAAACAAATTTTGGGTGGGAAAACTATTTAAGCACTAATATGGTATATAAACATTTGTGGGGAAGGTGGGTAAGAAATCATTCAATGTTGCTGACAAAAAATTGAAAGACCTTCTCATAATTCTTTGTACCATTTACAAAGCCTATGTCAGTAGTCAAATATCATATCAAGTCAAAGATATATACAGTGATTTTGCAAGTCTAAGAGAAGAAACGTCTATATACAATCACTACATGCTGAAGATTCCACAATGAGGATGCACATTCCCATCCTAAATCAGAGAACAAAGTGGAATGATTTCATTTCCATGTGGGTTTCCTAAAACTTTTTAAGTTGTTGCGACTATAGATAAGTAACTGAAGCAATCACCTTCTGCATTAGACTGAAATTTCGGCAAAGTTTGGAAAGGAAAGGTGCACAATGCCCAATTAAGTTTTTCCCAGTAGAACCACCAGAAATAATTTCTTTCTCTGCTCTTTCAGAGAGGGTATCAAGTATCGCATCCGCAGAGGCAGCAAGACCCAACTCTGCATTGATACTGTTGTTCTGCAAGACATCAAGATAACTAATCAATGTAATAAACAAGAAGAAAATTTTCTAACCCATGATTACTAATAACGGTACATTGTTGATTAATAAAGTTATTGCAAATTTTATCCCACCTTTTGTGCATCAAGAGGCATTGTGCTGTTACTATGATCATTCTGGCCCTCAGCAATCATTTTTTCTTTCTTAGCATTCATTCTTTGGATTTTCCGTACACAAGACTCAATATAAATCAATTGGTTCATAGCAACATGGCTTACAACAAATAGATATCTACTAAGTTTGGTTACTTGAACTGTGTCAAGGGCATTGGAGGTAGCAAAGTCAATGTCATTTTGAAACTCATCTCCTCCAGAACGGTCAAATACATAATTAAGAGATCTTTTCACCAGCTCGGCTGCTAAGGTTTCAGGAGTTGGATGAATTGTGTATATAGCGGCAATTGCTCTGTCAGCCGCAGCATACCATATATTTTCTTGAAGCCCAAAGCCAGTAACTAAACTTTCTAAAATACCAAATATTCGGCTGCCATTACTGGACACCAGTTTTTTCTTGTCATCATCAGACAACCGCTGAAGGGCAACACATGCTGTCCTAGCAAGCAAAGGTTCCACTTTCGCCCAACGACCGAATCCTATATCAATAATGTCCTGTAGGTGAGAAGTGAGAACCCCACTATATGATTTTGCAGCCATGCACAAGACAGACAAAGCACCACGGCTTTGTTCTGCAGTAGTTCCACTTACATGGAAACAAAAGAAATCCCATAATGCTGATATCTGCAATTAGAAATGCAAAACATATTATAGGCAATGAATGTATAATTATATGCCATAGAACGCATCAAACAATACAACAGCTTTTTAATTATAGGCCTAGGTCTATGTATATACTGTTATATTCATATATAGCCCTAGATCTATGTATATATTGTTATATTTGGTTAGATTTGTGTGTGTTTGTTCAATGGGTATATGTGTTTGAGTGTGTGTATGTGTTTTTGTCTATGTGTGTGTTTGTGTGTTCATTTGAGTCTGTGTATATATACGAAGGGTTTTTCTTTCTCTCGTCTTCTGTATGAATCTGTGTGTGTGTGCGTGTGTGCATCTGTGTGTGTGTATTAGGAATTATGAATTGTAATTTATGAATTATAAAGAATGAATTGTAATTTATGAATTATGAAGAATGAATTGGGAGTTGAGAATTATGAAGTGTGATTTATGTATTAGGAAGTATGAATTGGGATTTGAGAATTATGAATTATGTATTAGAAAGTATGAATTGAGATTTGAGAATTATGAAGTATGAATTGGTAATTGTGTATTATGAATTATGAAGTATTAACTATGGGTTGATATATTGATACTTTTAAATGTTTAACAACTATTATTTTGTGTTGCTGTATTGTGCACTGTTTTATGGATTGATGGTTGTATTGATAAAAAAATGTGGACGTGTTTTAGCTGGAATTAATATAAAGCTAAAATATATGACAAAATAAATTGGTTACCAAACATGTTTCCTGTTTAGTTTTTAGATTTCTTAAAACAACAACCGTACATAAACACATTTTCTGTTTCAACTTTTAACCACAGAAAAAAACAAAAATTAATTCTATATATATATATATTTTTGAAAACATGAAAACGAAAACATTACCAAACGTAACCAAGTTGAGCTTAAAATTTCACTTATAAGAATCTAGAAACACTTTCACTTGATTGAATATGGAAAGTAAAGAGTAACTATCATTTATCACAAATCTTATGGTAGATTTGGAGGTGTGCTACATCATTGGGTCAGTAGTAGGTCTTATGTTTAAAATAAAAGAACTAAGATGGGGATTAGGCACTAGACGAAGAGTACTGAATTTTAGCAACATTTCACACAACCATCTTTGCATTCATCTGGTTATTATCATCACTCCTAAAGTTTCATCATAACAATTCATGACTTAGACTACGATAATTCTCAAAATCTTGGAGTCATTTGATAATTTGAGGGAGCAGAAATCAATATTTAAACACTTAAAAGTACAATTAAGCAACTTCTGAGGCATAAATTGCAGGTTGGTGGATCCTGATTAGAAAATCGGTCATTGCCTTTTGTAAATTAGAAAAATGTAATGTATGTACTTCGGTCTTATTGCTATGTGGTCACTAAATGAAAGATGACATCATCAGAACAATTGATTGTCAAAATATAGGCATCTAGGCAAAATCTTGACATAACCAACATTGTTAGCATGCATAAGTGAAGAACGTTGCAACAATGTACTTACATGTGCAGCCAAAGACAATTTAATACCACATTTACAAAAGAAAATAATAAAATTCAATTTCAGTAAATAGATTAGAAGCTTTAACCTGGCATCATGAGATCATTTTACTTAAATGCACCCAGGAATTATAGCACAATAGACTCACAAAACTTGAATGTGATGATTGTTATCATAATCACACGAACCAATTAAACAATTCAGTTCTTACTTGATTCAGTGCTAGGATGTAATCATAATGTTTGTGAAAGTGTTGACTATGATTTTGCATTCTTAGTTCGTAAATCATATTCTGGATGACACTTGATCCAAACTCACATGTCTAGAAGTATTCAACAGCTCTGTATAAGATAGCGGTAAAGAATGAAAGAACAGTCATACCATGCTATCAGTTATGTCACCCTTGGATACCAAAGCACCAACTATGAACTCCAAAGCTGCAAGATCGCCAATATTTGAATCTATGGCAAGATTCAAGAGATTTTTAGCAGTTTCAACAGGGTTTTTCCTTACATAAATTGTGACAAATGCATTCTCCACGGCTTCGTAGATGGATTTGTCCTGGGAAAATACCTGTACACATACAGCGCATATGGGTCACTAGTCATATCAAACATTTAATAGGAACACCATCTACAAAAAAAATAACCAAATGACAACAAAGATTAAGCCTTCAGTTCCAAGGCAGGATAAAATAAAGCATTACCAGTGGCAACATCTTACGGAGACAGGCTTCTGAGCCATCAATTTGGAACTGTCTACACCTCATTAGCAATAGAATTGTGTTCTCAACATCAGTGGCAGAAGATGAAGCCATCAACTGAACAAGGTTTGGCATCGTGGCAGATACACACTTGGAAAATCTCAAACCTGCCTCAAGAGATGCAACTAATGTCCTAGTTTGCTCCAAATTCCCAACATCTGGCACTGAACTATCCTTCTGACCAATCCCATCTTCTACATAAGGCAAGCAGCTATCACTCAAACTATTATGGTGTTCCTTCGATACCCCTTCAGCTCCTACATCATCAACCTCTCCATCTCCATTGCAAGCATCATTATCAGTAGATAACCCATCCATGTCACCCTCAGATGAAGTATGTGGTCCAAGCTCATTTAACTTCTTATTATACTGTTCTAAGGTTGCTTCAAAAGAAGCTATTCGAAGTTGCGGACCAAAGGGGTTATGCTGCAGCATCATGATAAGTAAATTTAGTGCAGATTTTCTGACAAATGCACTCTTATCCTCCAACCTCCCAGCAGCTACTGCTGCAACCTCATTCCAGAGACCAATGGAAACAGAATGTTCTTCACAAAGTTCTGCCCAAACCTGAAGAACTCGACTCCTGGTATAAGCTGAAACATCTCGACAACGTTCTAGTAAGATTTCCAACATGGCTTGCTTGGTTCGAAGACGAATGGATTTCGAACTCACTTCGCCCTCAACATCATTAAAAGCCTTTGCAACCAACTTTCCCAACACCCCAACTAGAGCATTCCTTATCTTATATGACTCTCCACCAAAATGAGGGACCAATAAACCAATGTTGGTTGAAATCAACTTTGGCAATCGATCAGCTAGCTCTACAAGAAACCGTCCAATATTTTCAGCCCCAACAGTGTCCTTCACGTAATCTTTGGGATTAGCCCTTCCAATCTCTCTAATGAGGGAGATGGCTAAACTTCCATCAGCATACTTCTTCTCTGCCCCAGCAACTGCATCAGCCAAGTGAGTAACCACAAAATCATATTTGTGAATCAGGTGTAGAATTGAAGCGCATGATTGTGTTGTATAGTGGTACTTGGTAGCACATGTTCCAATTGTACGACACAAAGCATCTTTTGTGTCCAAATCTTTTAATAGTGTCACATCCTCACACATAGAGAATGCATTTCTGCAATACCAAAGCGGTAAATCAGTTCACAAAATTCAATAACCAAATCAGTAAATCAGGTCACAATATAACTTATGTGTACAAACATCTATAATCACAATTCATAGAATCAATGTAGCTAACCAACTTACTTGACAATGAAAGACAAGTAATTTTCATCTGGGTTCGATGACCCAAAAAGCAATGACAGGTTGATCTCTAGTGAATTAGCAATCAAATTTAGTATCCGACCCCTCTGGGGCTCCCAATTCCAAGCATGTACAGGCTGTTTTTTCTGCCTACTCGCCACCACCTAAACCCATACACCCAATATCAGTATAATCCAATATTCAGCCGTAGCAATAGAATAAGCATACTGAATACATGCACAAAAACCCATATGCACGAATATATGTACACATTCACTTCAATCCATAAAGCCATGATTAAAAATTACTCCAAAGTCATCAAGAACAATAGCATTAACATATTGAACATTTACTACACACAGATATATATATATATATATATAGAGAGAGAGAGAGAGAGAGAGAGAGAATACTTTGGCACTTTTGTTGGAACTAGTGTTAGACTGCTCAGCAAGAACAATATGAACGAGAAAGAATGTGTAAATTTTGAAAGCATTTCGATGAGAAGCCACCCGATCGATGACCAGACTCTCGTCATCATCCTTATTTTGAGACACCCTCAAGAGAGAATCGACATTGGGAAGCAAAACACTGAGATTGGACCTTAAACTCTCCACAAGATTGAGCTTACAACTTGGGGTGAGAGAAGCAAAACATTTAACAAGCGAGTACACGCGGTCGAAAACGTCTTGATCTTCCACGCAGAACAGCTCTTTATCGGAGAGGTCGAAGGATACACCTGTTTGGAAGAAAAGGAAAGCAAGGTAAGAGACTTTTGAACTGCTTGGAAGGAAAGCATATAACGTGTGGGAACAATTTTGAGGTTTGCCGGATTCGGGGAATGCCTTTTGGCCTTTGATGCAGAAGAGCTCTGTCATATAATTTGAAGTATAACCTGTTTAAAGAAAGTTAGAGTGGGAGAGAAAGACAGAAAATTCGAAAGACAGAAAATGGGACACAGAGAGAGAGAGAGAGAGAGAGGGAGAGGGAATTTGGGGAATTGGAAGAAATGTGTTTTGGTATTATACGTGGAAGAACTCATTGGCGGAGAAAATACAGGAGACATGTGTTTGGACGGAGAGAATGTGAGAGTGACAGTAAGAGAAAATTTGGGGAAAAACTGACCTTTTACGAATTCTTCGAGTTCGGAAGAGCGTAGAGAGGAGATCGAGGTGGGACCTAGGACGGTGAGCCGATTGTCGCCTGTATCTTCTTCGAGGGCATGGAGGTTTTGGGGGAAGATGAAGTGTGGAGCCATTGTAGACACAGAAAGTTGCAGAGAGAGAGAGAGATTTGAACGAAAACGAAGAGCAGCAAGCGGGAAAGCGTCTGTACAGTTTGTAGGTCCAATTTGTCGGGTCGGATTATGAATTCCATCATATTTGGGGTCCTGATTTGGATTAGTGGGTGGGTCCTGATATTCAAAAATGGGTTTTGGGTATTGATTTATGTTTTTGGTGACGTTTCTTTGAATTGAATTTTTTAGTAAAAATAAATGGAATAATTACACTAGAAGTCCTCAAAATATGGGATTTATCTCATTTTGACCCCTAATATTATAATTGCATCATTTTATTCCACAAAGTATTGAATATATTTATATATAGTCCATTAAACAGACAATGTACAGGTCATTGATGATTTTTTACTATAAACTTGTCATGTAATACTTAAATACGAATAAAATATAATTTAAATAGCCTTTAACAATTATTTATGTAGCTCTTAATAAAAAATGTGTAATATGAGTAGTTTTTAACTAAAATTTAGATAGGCTATGATCAAAACTGTAAAATTTGAATAACTCTTTGACTAAAATTTGGGTACAAATTTGGTCAAGAGTTATCCAAATTATTTTTTTTACTCATAATTAGGTATCATGTGACAAATTTATAATAAAAAATTATTTGTAAACTCCATGATGTCTGCTTGAGGGACTATAAAAAAAACATATTCAATACTTCAGGAATAAAAAAATGATACAATTAAAATCTTGAGGACCAAAATAAGATAAACCTCATATTTTGAAGATCTCTAATATAATTAATCCATTTGTGGGTAAATATCATAAATTGTCTCTAAACTTTACCCCCAATTTCAATTTGATATCTTTCATATTTAATTGTCATAATTTAGCCTCTTAATTATCATTCTATTTATTTTCACCATTAGACACGAGCCCCATCTTCTTCATTTTCAACATTAAATCATATGTTATAGTTTTATCTAATGGTGGAAATAGACCAAAGCACTTACGTGAGATGAATTTGATAATTAATAAAATAAATTGAGACAATTAAACGTTTATGGACCAAATTAAAATCGGAGACAAAGTTTAGGGGGCCGGGGGGGGGGGGATCCAATAAATTACAAGTATATATACCGGCTTTAAACCTAAAAGGCAGAATCACATAAGACAGTCACAAAAACTGATCAACGGGCCTTTGGTCCAATAATACTTATTGCCTTGTGAAAGTTTTTCCATATTGAGGTTAAAGGTTTAAGCCCCTTCTCTCCTCCCCCTTCCCCTCCCTCAAAAAAATGTTAAAAAAAAAGTCACCAGAACTGAACAAAAAGCAATATCATGCTCAAAGTAAAATATTATTAAATAGCTAAGAAATTAGAGTCAATGTCACATGAGAAGAGCTCAGATTGTCTAACCCCCCCAGAACATATCAGCAACTTGTAGCAGTCATTGCTGATGTTAGTCGGTGACCACCTGCATTAATGACAATTGACCATGGAAACTTTGTATCAAAGTTCTCTATAAGGCAATGCAAGTCTGCACAAACACAAATATATATTACCAAAGTGATTGAATATGTAACTAGGCACACACCTCTAGTAGTAAACCTTAAAGAATAAACTCTTACAAAATCAGATGGTCATGTCCTCAACGTTGTCTAAGCTAGAACGCTATAATCCTTCTGCAGTGCAACATCCTCACTCGTTTCCAGAGATGATTGTGGAAGAACCTCATTAGAAGCATGAGATGGGCGTGAAGCACTCTCGCTTGCTCCATGAGAAAGTTGATCTTCATCAATTTTGGCTGCTGCACATCGGAAGTGTGAGTCATCGATGTCATTGGCTGCATCACAAAGCGGCACATCATTGACCTTCTTAGCCACATCACAGAATTGTGCATCATCACCCTCGCTGGCTGGAAGGCATAGCTGCGGATGATCAACCTCACTAACCACCTCATATAGCTGTGGCTGGTCAACCTCAATAGCTGCAGCACATAATTGGGACTGAACATCCACAACTGGTGAATAAAATTGCATTAAATCATCCTTCCGCTTACGTTTCCCCATGCCCTTCCTTCTTACCCGCTCCTTCCCCCTCACTCTTTTCCCAACTTCATTTGTTGAGTTGGCTACCACTATTGTCGAACTTCCAACCTGGTCCCTTAAGCAGTCATGTGCAATATACCTTATTCTTGTCACTGAATGTAGCTGTTGGTCATCCATCCCTTGAGTTGAAAGTGTATCTGCTACATGTGCAATGTCCCTCAATGCAGCACTCTGTCATTGAAAACCAGCAGTGCCCGGAAAAATTGAAATATAAAATTAAATTAAAGATACAAGTGACAGAGGATATAGTTGGCATGGCTTGTACTATATTACACTATTAGCTTGAAGGCTCACCATTCTCTGAAACTCGGATGAGATAGGTATAGGCCTTCCTACCAATTTGCGGGTAATATTCGAGTACCACTCCATGTATTCGCTTTCCTCCACGTCTTCATCAACCTCCACGATATGGAGACGTCGGTCTGACCATTCATTAAGCTCTGATTCCATTTTCCCTGCCAAGTCTACTCCACCATCAACTCCACGACTCTTCCTCTCCCAGCTCTGCACATCTTGTGGAATAAGTTGTTGCATGCCATATTGCCTTAAGCAACGATCAGGAAGGTGTCTTTCCGCCTTGTCAAAACATATTAACATTGTCTTCGATCTCCCAAGAATCAGACTGTTTTTGATATCCTCTGGTATAACTGTATGACTAACATTTGCATAAGGACGCCACTCCACCTGCATATTTAGTTATTTAAACAATACTAATTTGATTATACCAAAAGAATGGTTGATTAGAGGAACATGTATTGATAAACTTACATCGGTCGGACTAAGGGAGTCCAATGATTTACGATAGAATGCCACATCACGGTTTGATGTTGGACCAGTTTGTTTTCCTTTCCATCTAAGAACAAATGGAAAACATTCATGGATTGGGTCGTGACTAAGCTTTGGCCGCCCAACATTCAGGTGATAGTAACTCCAGCACTACAAGAGACAAAAAAAAACTAATCACAGCTGGCATCCAACGTATAAATCTTTTATCTGCCAGAATGTATAAATTCATCACCAACTCATGCTGCCAGGCCCCCTCACCCCTTGCAGTTTGTGTCGTGCGGAGCAAGCAAAAAAAAAAAAGAAAAGAAAGATAGAGCAAAGAATAAAAGGAAGTAAAATGCATCACTGAATCACCTGCAATAAGGTTAAACAGCCACTAATGGTGCTCTGAGATTTAAGGGAGGCATTACCAAGCGCTCTATATAAAAATGACAATGCCGCTGCACCCCACGCATATTTCCCAGTTTGGTCAAAATTTTCAAACAATGGAAGGTACATGACGGGGACTTTATTACCAGTGGTAGTGGAAAAAACTGTACTACCGACAAGGTAAAGAAGGTAGGCGCGTGTATGGCGCTCAATGTCTTCTATGGAAGCATCTTCGGGACACTTAGAGAAGGTATCTTTTAACCAGCTAAGCTTCACCATCCCACCACTTCTGTACCCCAAATCTGGTGCTTTCCCTAAGAACTTCACGCATACTGCATCACACGTGGTATATGTTACCCCAATAACAGGTTCACCGTCGATTGGTAGCCCAAGCAAATATGCAACATCTTCAAGAGTTACTGTCATTTCTCCAACAGTCAAATGAAAAGTGTTTGTTTCTCTCCTCCACCTCTCAACTAGTGCAGATATGAGTGGGTTATCCAAACTAATTGCCGGTAATAATCTTAAGTAGCCAAATCCGGCTTTCTTTACTAACTCAATCTGTTTTTCTGTGAGCGTCCACCTATCAAGCTTTGAAGTGTGTTCATGGCATCTAAGTGCACCACGCTCCTGTCAATATATCCATTAACTATATTAAAATAATTCACTAGTGATATAAAATAATTCACTAGAGATATAGTGAGTCGCACCTGCCCCTCCCAAACAGCAGCAGAAACATGCTTATCTTGATCATACAATATACAATTATCAATTGGTCCAGGGTTGGTCGCATAGAATTCCATCATTATTACTAATTGCAGCTGTCTAAATTACAAGAAAAAAAAAACCAAAAAAGAAACAAATGTAAATGTTTGTCTGAGTTAATTAACCTCAAATGCAACTTGAAATTATTTTTAATTAGTAAAATAAAATAACACAAAGGAATTGGTCACAGTTTTTAACTGAAAGGAAATATAAGCCAATTTTTTGGGGATAAAATTACTCACAACCACGTAGACAAAAAGGCTTTAATCATAGCTATGAGGACCACCTAGGTGACTTCGGTCAAACAGTCGGCTAATTATCACATGAAGCCGCTGTGTCTTTTCCCAAACAAAATAGGTGCCTTAAGCTTGGGGACGAGCGTCTAAACTTTGTTTGGCAACTGACTTATCTGACTTTTTGTGTGTCAAAAATGGCCTATTCCCTGACCCATTTCATTAACATGTTTAATACGTTAATGTTTTGCTAAAACAGACATTCTTTGAGACACTACCAACAAAATGAATTCCATTTCACAGCCAAAGACTTTTGTTGGCCAATCCTTCATATTTGCATAGTTGAGGGTATCATTTGTGAGGTGTGAAGTCACAACTTGGACAAAATTTTAGTCCAACACAAAGACAATTTCAAACTACATATGTCTGTGATAAATTAAAACAAGACAACACATATAACCGATATATAGTCACTGTCAACCTTAGGTTGAGTAGAAACGCGGCTCAAGCTTGAGTGATATTCATCCAGCTCAATCAACACATGTTCTACATTGTTTGGCCATATTACCATTGGGTAGGTTTGATTTGCGAAAAATCCTGAACAAAATTTAAGCTAGACCTCATCTGCAAACCAGGATATCATTGTTATTAAAGAACTGACAGTTCTACAACTTAAACTGTTAGAGAAGGATTATACGGAAATTTTTATATACCATATCACGCTCCCTCAAATGTGAGTAATATTTTGGACCAATCATGTCTAAGTTTTACAACTGTCCGAGTCGTGGCAAGATTCGAACGCATGACCTTTTATTCACATACCATGTCAATTATCAGCTGCTTAAAAATTTAAGCAATTGTATTTCAATTTTGAACCCATGAATTCAAACAGAAAAATGGTAAACGCTATGAAAGGAGCACAAATAGTAATTAAAATAACATAAACATTTCATACAATCTGAACAGATCCTAAATAAAAAGTTCAACAAATAGTCTGAACTTAAAAGAGCGGGTTCTATATATTCCCAAATTATTTTGAAGAGATGAATCAATTAAATTGGAACAACATGCCCTATACTACAAATTATGTTTACATTAGTGCCTAAGGACTCTACTAAGTCAGTAAATATAGAATTAAAATTGAGAAAGTGAGAGATTATTGGTTGACAGACAAAGAAGGTAGAACAAGAATGAATGTTGCCATTTTAATCGAGTGCTTTCTATCCCTCCATAACTATGGTTTATGATTTAAGATTAAGACTTTATGGAACCACATCCTTAAGAGAACAGACATTGAATCACCAATTGACCTAAACTCTTCACTGCAGAGCTTAAATGGACTCCTCAGCAGAGCCAATCCAAGCTTCACAAAAGCACTGTTATTCGTTTACACAGCAAAACCTGTACCGAATGTCCTTTTTCCTACAAGCCAAAAGTGAGATTCAGGCAAAACCCAGTTGACTCTCTGCAGTATACAATGGGGAAGTCCAAAATCCCAATGCTATATGGTCACCAAACTAGTCATCCTTGCAAATTATACATCTCTCTAAACTCATGAAAAAAAAAAAAATAGATCCCTAAATATGTAGCCCTCACAACCACTTTCATTTGAAATTTCAGTTTTGAAACAATTGCTGGATTGAAGCATGTCCCATTTCTCAAAAACCAAAAATTCTACCATAGAAGACTAATTGTGCACAAAATCAGCTTCTCTCTCATAATATCACTTGACCCAGAAAAAACTTTTATCTCACCATTTCGTATTGTGAAACAACTTTTCTATTAGACCTCATACACTAACCGACATTAATTTCAGCTTCAATTCTTCTTCAAAAGGGGTTTTTTTTTTTCCAATTCATGTGTTGTGGGTTTAAAATTTTTATAGATTCCAGTTCATAATTACATTCGAAGACTCACCCAATAATTTCCTTTATAATTTTCATACATTCCCACAAAATATATCCAAATTTATGCGTATATACAAGATCAAAAGTGAATCATTATTCCAGATGAAGCTTCCCAGCGGAGTGTGTGTGTACGGGCCATGCTTCTTCACCGCTAGGGCAAAGAATAATTGCAAAAGAAAGCAACGGCGTCGTTCGAAAAAAGAAAAGAGTAGGTAAGTTTGCCATACCTGTTGTTGCCGGCAAGGAAAGAGCTACGGCGTCGTTCGAGTCGAAGCCCTAAAACAAGGCTTCAGCAGGGGATAGTCTGATTCCTGTTGGATGAAAGAACTTTGTTTTAATTTTGCTCCCCACTACCAAACACCACCCCCCCCCCCCCAAAAAAAAAAATACATATATATATATATATATATATATATATATATATATATATATATATATATATATATATATATATATATATTTCTAGTATATTTTAACCCATTTGTTTTAGTCACAAAATTTCAGTGGTTAATAACTCGAAGTCATGCAAAAAATACAATTATACGCAATTTACAAGTACTTATATATTTTCAAAATTTATGTACCACTTGTAAAAGCATATAATTGAGACGATTTTGAATCTTAAAAATTAGTTTACTCTTTGATAATTTATTCATATTTTGTGGTAAATATTGTTAGTTGGAGCTATTTTTTCTTAAATTAAAATAGAAGAATACCTAATTATTCTATTAAATAATATTTTTTGTGTTTTCCAAAGTTATTGATCATTACTCGGTCGAGTATAAATTTTATTTGAAAATTATTCCATCCGTTCTTAAATATTTGTCGTTTTACATAATTTTTTTTGTTTCATAATATCTGTTGTTTAATGAAAGTAAAACATAATTAGTATTTTTTTTTCTAAATTTATCCTTAATTTTTCAATGCATTAGATTTGGTGGAGGCTAAGTACCTTTCATATTTCTTTCCTTCCCAATACGTATTGAATAAAGGTATTTTAGTCTTATGCAATTATTTTTTACTCATATTAGAGTTATTTAATAACTTCTTTAATCCCTGTGCAAAAACCTAAAACGACAAATATTTAAGAACAAATAGAATATCTTATATCAAAAGATTCATAGATAGAATCTCACTTGGGATGAGCATTATTACATATAAATCATGTGCATCAGGTCATTAAAGACATCTGTTTTGAAATTCAAACTTAAAACCTCCTAAATGTATAAGACCTTTCGATCCGAATTTCGAATTATTCTTACACATGTTTGTGGTATAAAAACTAGTTCATTGTTCCTTTTTATTGAGTTGCACCAAAATAACTTTTTCCTATTATATATGTTGTTTCAAAGAGAGCAAAAAAGTTTGGTACATTGTTGCAACATGTTTTTTAGGAAATTCATATGGTATCAATTTTGGTATTATACCAAAAATTATAATTTTAGGAGTGTAGTCAATGCCCCAAGCATATTCTATCATGTGTCATGTTACGTGTTGTTTTGTAATTGTGTGGCGTTGAAAGCTTTTTCCTATTGTCAATATTACTACTTATGATATTATTAGTAAAATTATTTAACATGAAAATTTTTTCATTAATTATTCTGCACTTATAAAAAATTATAAAAAAAAATTTCTCTAGTATTTTATATTTAAACTAGTTATTGCAAAAAATTATCATTCATAAACATATTTTTATTCACACTCAAAATCAAATCATAAACATAGAGGAGAAAGAAAGAAATTTAAACACTAGTTGTAGTGGGGGTGAGCGGTGGGAAACAGTGATGGTTGTGGTGGATGGCGACAATCGTGATGGTGGTGGCATCGTGAGTGACAACGGTAATGGTAATAGTGAGTTTTAGATGACGATAGTGATAATGACAGTCATGGGTGAATGTGATAGTTGTGGTGGGCAACAATGATGGTGGTTGACAGTAATGGGGGGGGGGGGGGGGTGACGACAATGGTAGTGGCGATAATAGGTTATGGTGGTGGATGGTGACGATGGGTGGTGATGGGTGTGAGTGGTGGGGGGCGACGACAGGTTCTTTTGTAGGAAATGATGGTGGTGGATGGTGGTCAATGATGGTGGTAGTGGTAGGTGTGGTTGGGTGATGGTGAGTGGTGGTCGACGACGGGTGCTTTTGTGGGCGACGATAATGGTAAATGACGATGGTGGTGGTAGGTGTGGGGGAGGTGAGGTGATAGTACATGGTGGCCAATGACAAGTGGGTGGCGACGGTAGTGGGCGACGACGGGTGGTAATGAGTTGATGGTGGTAGTGATAATAAATATAAGAATAAGATGATGATGATGGTGAGTGGTAGCAATCGGTGGTAGGTGACGACAGTGGTGGTAGTGGTGGGTGGTGACGATGATGGTGCTGATGGCGGTGGTGGTTGTGACAAAGATGGTGGTGGTGGCGGCGAAGCGGCGATGGAATAGTGATGAGGCGATGGTGGTGGTGGTGAAATATTTTTGTAGAGAAGTGATTTTAAAGAAGTATAAATTATTATTATTATTTATTATTTTTATTTACTTACTTATTTAAGTGATAAAATTACTTTTGACTTATTTTGAAGTAATTAAAATATGTTGTTTCAATTTCAACTACTATTTTTTTAAAAGTGCTTATGAGAAGTTATAAGTTCTAGAAATACTTATAAAAAGGCACCTAAAATAGATCCTTTAAGGTCCTATTTTTTCTATTAAATTTAGGGTGTTAATATTATCCATTGAATTAACTTTAACGTAAAATTTAAAACGATTTTAATTGTAAAAAATAAAAATTATTTTTTATATTATACTTTAATATATAAATAGTCAAATCATCCTGAAGTCCTTATCTATTTTAAGGATCTCTGTTTTTTTAAAATGATCATATTACCGCTAAAGTAAAATATGAAGACAACATTATTTTTTTTAATAAATATCTTAAAAAATCTTTCAACCATTTTATCAATACAATATCATCCTTAAATTTTCAAAAGCCTACAAATTTATATTTTCCTCTTCATCCAAAAATCCGACCATTTCATATCCCCCTCCCCCCCCCCAAAAAAAAAAAAAAAGATTTCTAAGCATTTTCCCTTCCACAAAAAAAAAAATGTTTTTCTTTTGTGTTGTTTCTTTTTTATATCTTTCAGTACTTCTCTCTATATTAATGTTATAGATGATTAAACACAAATATTGATTTAATAGTGTAATTGACAAATGCATATAATGACATATCTATGTTGTAGTATTAGTTATATTATAATTAAGTCATGGCGAGAAATTATTAGGGCACAAAATAAAACAACATATGAAGAAAAAGGGCACGAGTAAAGAAAAAATCTATAATCCTTCAAATGATTTGAATAAAAGAATCCCACAAAATGTGAGGTGGTTAGAAATAAAATTAGTAGAATCAAGAATGAGGAGGGTGTTTAGGTGCATAGTGATAGGGAGATTGCTATAGTTGTAGAGAGGTTTTATTCTAATTTGTATAAGTCAGAAGAGCATTGTCTTTAGGAGGAGCTTTTTTCAGTTATTCCAGAGTTGGTGAGTGATAAGGATAATCAAAGATTGGTGGCTGCAGCTTCTATGGACGAGGTCAAGGCTGTGGTGTTTTCCATTGTTGTAGAAAGTGCCCCTAGACCGGATTGTTTATCTGGTAAGTTCTTCCAAGTTGAATGGAAAATTATTAAGCAAGATGTGTGGCTGGCTGTTAATTTTTTGTTGAAGGGGTGTGTGTTGCCTAAATCAGTTAATGCCACGTTGTTTGTTTTAATTCCTAAGAAGGATAACCCAACTTCCTTTACAGATTTTAGGCCCATTAGTTTGTGTAATTTTTTGAATAAGATCTTTACCAAACTATTAACCAGTAGATTGTCATATTTACTCCTTGTGCTGGTATCTGATGAGCAGCATGGGTTTGTTAAAGGGAGATGTATTGGAAATTGTATGTCATTGGGATAATTTATGGTAGATGAGTTGGACAGTAAAGTGGAAGGGGATAATGTGGTCTTGAAGTTGGACATGATGAAAACCTATGATAGGCTGGAATGGGATTTTTTGGTGAAGACTTTGAAGTGCTGTGGTTTTTCTGCTCTGTTTGTCCAGATTATTTCCAATTGTTTGGCAAATCAGTTTTTCTCTCTTTGTTTGAATGGTCAGAGGTATAGCTTTTTCTCAAATTCAAGGGGCCTTAGAGGGTGACCCTTTGTCTTCCTCATTTTTCATTTTGGCAAAAGAGGTGTTAAGCAAAGGCTTGAAAAAGATCTATCAGCAAAAATTAGTGTCTCATTTTCATACTGGATGGGGGTTGTTGAGTCACCTCTTATTTGCTAATGATACTCTAGTTTTCTCAAGAGGGGATAAGAAGTTCATTTTTAATTTGATGAAGTTTATTAATGCTTATGAGGGTTGTTCAGGACAAGAGGTGAATAAATCAAAAAGCTCCTTATATTGTTCTGTCAGAATCTCCTATGCTAAGAGACAGATTTTGTCCTCCATGGTTGGTATACCTCTTAAATAATGCCCTTTAATTACTTGGGTTCCCCATTATCAGAGGGATAACTAAGATTTGTTTATTTAATGATATGATGAAGGCTTTTAGAAGAAAGATTGAGCGTTGGTGTGCCAGGCTGCTTACCTCTTAAATAATGCCCTTTTAATTACTTGGGTTCCCCATTATCAGAGGGATAACTAAGATTTGTTTCTTTAATGATATGATGAAGGCTTTTAGAAGAAAGATTGAGCGTTGGTGTGCCAGGCTGCTATTTCAAATGGGGAGGGTGGTTTTAGTCTAGTCTGTTCTAAATGTTATTCATTTCCATTTGTTAGCCTATATGAATATTCCTAAGGGGGTCTTAAAGAAACTGAATGCTTTGGTTGCTAGTTTTATATGGTCTAACAAGATGGACATGAAAAGGAGACACTGGGTTTCTCTGGAAAGTTTATCAAAGCCTAAGGTGGAAGGGGGTTTAGGTATAAGGAGCTTTGAAGAGATCCAATTTGCATTAAGAATCAAACAAATATCGAATATTTTAAATGGTTCTTACCTATGGGCCAATGTTTTTAGGTACAAGTTTTTTAGGGGAAGACACATGTTAAGGAGTGAGGGGATTAGAAGGCCCAAGTGTTTTAGGATTCTAAAGCCTTAGTTTGAGCATGTAGTGTCTAGTTCATTGATTCTGGTGGGGAATGGACAAGACACTGATTTCTGGTATGACCCATGGTTGGAGTTTGGTCCTCTATTGTATAGGATTGGAGGAGTTCCTGGTTATTTTCCTACAATTGCTGAGTTGTTTGATGGCAATCGATGGGATTTGGAGGGTGTTTCTGAGTTGCTGGGGTCTCA